GTCCTTCTAACATCTATGCTTAAAAATGAGCAGTCCTAGTCCCCCACTGTTTTGCACATAAGATACAAATTTAACTTATACCCACTGTTTCTCATACCCACAATTAACAGTTCAAGTTTTAAGCTATAATCAACTCTATAATCTAATAATCTGTAGAATTCTTAAGTCCTAGGATACAAATATCTTCTTTTTTTTAATTTTATTTTATGGCAGTGGTGTATATGCCAGTTTGCGCGCACTTCGGCTATTCCACTGGATACCTTCTACCTTCAACACACATAAGTGTAACTCTACTCCAAAGCTTAGGCAGATGGGAAAAAATCACCAAATATTTTTCCTTTGTTGGGGATTTAAAACTGAGACTTCATGGTTCACCTCCCACTTCATTGACCACTAGGTCACACCTTAGGTGCTGCTAGGATATAAAATATCTATTTTCTAACTTATTACATCTTAATTAAGTGCTCACTTGAACAAACTGGATTAGATTAAAAGGGGTGTTTTAGGTGATTTCAATTACTTATATTTGAGATTGTCAAAATTTCAAACTAGCCGTTTAGATAATCATAATGATATTTTAAAAGACTTGAAATTTACGAATTTCATCCCAAGTACTAAAAGCTCGTTAAAAATAATAGCATTACAACTTTTTGTCCTTTTCTTAATTGAAAATGCATATTAGTAGGCCATTAACACATCGTAACAAATTAAAAATGCGTATAAACTGCTGCTCAATTGAAAACGATTGAAGAGAAGGGAGAAAGAGGAAAACTTACGACTGTGAATTTGGGCGGAGAAAGAGAAATTGCGAGAGTTGGCACTGCAGCAGCGAGAGATGGAGAAGAGAGAAGAGAGGTCAGCTTGTCCCAGCAAATAATTTGAAATTTGAAATATGGGGGTTTCCTGATTTGGCGTCCATTATATTAAAAGTGAAATAAATAAATAACGGATATTGTGGATCTGGGCTTGTCAGTCAGAAAAACAAGTCCAAAATGCATTCCTTGAAACTGGGCCGACCCGAGCCCAATTGAATTTCTACGCTAATGAGCGACTTAGCTTATACAGTCAAACCTTTCGATAACATCCTCATGGGTACGGGCCTTTTGTTGCATTTTATAGCTATTGACTGTTATACACTTATACAGATATTTGACTTTTATATCTTATTGTCTGTTATAAACAAGAAATATTAAAAATAATTTTTCCGGTTTGCTTATGTTATAAAAGATAGTAATAACGATGATGGATGTCGCCGTAAAAGATAAAGACTGTCATAGAGATATAATATAACATAAAAGATATTTTCAAAGAAAACTTGCTTGTTATTCTAAAACATTGTTATAGAGGTTAGTTGTTACAGAGATCTCTCTTAACTGTATAATCAAGTTGCAATCGAGCCAAGCCTGTGTCAGTTCAATTTTTTTTTTTCAAACGCGAAATTAGCTAAAATTGAAAAACTAGGAAATACAACAACAACAATAACAACAACATCCCAGTATAATCCCACAAGTGGGGTTTGGGGAGGGTAATATGTACGCAGACCTTACCCCTACCCCGAGGGGTAAAGAGGCTGTTTCCAGGAGACCCTCGGCTCAAGAAAGCGACAAGAGACGATATATTAGTACTATCAATAGACTCATAATAAAATAATAACATAAAATAACATAACATAACATAAAATAAAAAATAACAACAATATAAGAAATATAGGAAATACGAAAAAGATGGAAGATATAAGAATATCCAGCAGATAAAGCCCTGCATCAGTAGCTGACCAGTAGCATCCTAAGACTAACTCCTAACTGGCTAGTCTCACTCTAGTGCACTATAGAAATACTCACAACTTCCCCTAGCCTGCAACCTTAATGTTCGACCTCCACAATTCCCTGTCAAGGGCCATGTCCTCAGTAATCCTAAGTCGCGTCATGTCCTGCCTGATCACCTCTCCCCAATACTTCTTAGGTCTCCCT